TATGTATCTAAATGATTTTATAAATATTTTTATTACTTTGCATGAGAAATATAGTGTTTTTGCTCTTCTTAAATATTTTGTAAAAGTTAATCAGAAGAAACATGATTCTCAGAAGTAAGATATCTTATAAAATTTTTATGTCACTAATATCATTAACTGGTATGCTTAGGAGAAGGCACTCTCTAATGATCATTAGAAAGATACAAATATAAGTTAAAACCCACAGGCTCCAGTTTCCATTGACTTAACTGTAATCCTGAGAAATTCACTTGGTATTTCTCTGTCTCAATTTAGCCATTTGTAAAACCAATTTAATAATATTCTTAATTTACTTCTAATGGCAGTAGGAGACTTAATTAATGTTGGTAAACTAATTTTCTGTGGTTAAAAAGTCTAAATAATTATACACTACTTTAGTGTTCCTAATTTTGAAAGTATTTTAAGATATTTAGATGATTAAATCTGAAAACTTTTTAATGAGGCTTATTTTAATCCAATTAATCACACTATATTTTAACTTTGAAAGCATATATATGGCTTTTCAAAATGATTAAATCTCTTTCATTCAATTAAATTACACCAAAATGTCCTCTCCTAAAACTCTTTGTACCTCATTTCTTACATGTATCTTTTGTTTTGTTATCACTTTTTATTTTATGCAATATATTTTAGCCAATATATTTAAAACTAAGAGAAGTTATTGTCAGTTGAGAATATATATCGGTAGATTAAATAACTTTAAATTGGCCTCAATCATCTTATTCCTTTGAATGGTATGAAAATGTGTGAACATGTATAGGGTATCCCCAAACAATGTATGCATATACTTTGAATAATTATAAAGGCGGTGTTTATTTAAAACATTTCACTTATTAAAAACATTTCTAGCTGAAACCGGTTTGGCTCGGTGGATAGAGTGTCGGCCTGCGGACTGAGGGGTCCCAGGTTCGATTCCGGTGAAGGTCATGTGCCTGGGTTGCGGGCACATCCCCAATGGGGAGTGTGCAGGAGGCAGCTGATCGATGTTTCTCTCTTATCGATGTTTCTAACTATCTCTCTCCCTTCCTCTCTGTAAAAAATCAATAAAATATATTTTAAAAAATAAATAAATAAATAAATAAAAACATTTCTAATAGCTATCAGCTGTTAGAAATAAACTTTGTTACAAAATGTAATTGATGTAATAAATCAGGTAAAACAAAATAGGGTTTGAGTATTTAAGAATAGAATACATATACATTTGACTTATATCTCTTCTTCAATAAGTTAACAGGAAAAATAATTTAAGAATAGTGACTTTTGTCTGCGTTGTATTATAGTGCCTTTTTTTTCTAATATCCTAGCCTTAGTTTTGCCTAATGCATTTTCCTCACTTCCTTTTATGTCCCCAAATGATTAGATCTCCTTCTGAGAAAAAAAAAAAAGTAATGTGGTGAAAACAGCCTTAAAATTAGCTTTCCACAAGAGATGACATAAAATATCATTGCAAAGAAGGAGATAATAGAGATCTAGGGAAAGCATTTCAGGGTAGGTACTCTAGAGCATTTTCCTGTCTTTCCTAAAGAAAGGCAGAAATTGTTAGTCCACTAATCATACTTTGTATAAGATTCTGGTATTCCAAGAATGAGGGACATTTGCAAAGTCTGCCTTCACTCACTGCAGCGTTGCTTTTTCCAAGGGCTTTACACATTGCATGGGTGAGGACTGCCTGTGTATCCAGCTCCTTCCATTTAAGAGCATCTGTGCTCATTATTGGCCCTGCCCCTCTGTTCATTTCCTTAGCCATTAACTTAGCTACATGTTCTTTCTCATTAAATCTCTCATCAAAACATTTGTTGGTGCTTTGGGGTTAATACAAAATTTGGTCAGGCCTCAGTTGTCCCCATGGGCACTTGTGATATACATTTTTCCTTTCTTCCTTCTCCACTAAGTCAAGGTGTGAGTGAGGAAGAGTTGTATGGCACCATGCTGGAAAGGGGTGTTGAATCAAATTATGAAAAGCCCCAAAGGTTGTACCAAGGAATTTTGTACTTTATGAATTGTGGCAGTGGGGAGCTGTGAGTGGCATTTGAGCAGTGGAGTCTAATATTCTAAGTGTACTTAGAGGAAATATCTAAAAGATTAAATAATTTAATCTTGCTATTTTAAAGTAAATAGTTTTAAAGGGTGGGGATTAAAGCAGAGAGAATGAATTAGGAGATCAGTGTGTGTGTTTTTTAATCAGTGAGGCAGTGATGAGGGCCTAAACTAAGATGATGCTATTAGAGATGGAGAGAAAAAGAGAGATGAGAGGGAGATTTCAGAAGTAGAGATTGGAAGAGTCAGAGAAGGCTTTGAAAAGGGGGACGAAGAGGATTGGGATGGCAATAGCAGAAGGAAGACCTCAGGCATGCTGGGGTGTGAAAAGCCAGTGGGTCAGTCAGATGAGACTAGAGGGGGAAAGAGAATCCCGTGTGGAGGATGTTAAGAGAAAGTGAAAGAGCCAAGGATAGAGGAGAGCAGAGGGAGAAGGAGGGAACAGAAAGCTCGCCAACAGAGGAGTTAAAGTGAGTGTGGGGACGGCAAAGTTGAAGACAGAAAGTTGAAGAAGGAAACGAGTTCAGCAGTCTCAGAGGTGTCTGAGAGATCAAGAAGGATGAGCATGAAAAAGAGGCCGTCAGATTTGCCCCAGAGAGCGAGGCTTTGGTCCTGGCCATCTGGACACATTATCCAATTTTCCATTTTCTTTGTCACTGTTCCTCTCTCTGGCATAAAGAATCAAAAGTTGACTATATTTTTACAGAAGAAAGAAAGTATAAGCTGTCGTGAAAACTTCTAGTTTTGGTTAACTAAACATTAAGAAAAGGACACAACAAAAATAATATAAAATAACTTTTATTTACATAATTTATATCTGTCGAACATAATTGCTTTCTTTAAAACAAGAAAATTTACAAATGACAGATATTGCTTTTTTGTAAAAGACTTCTTCAAGCAAGATAGTATGCATACATGGTCACTTCTATTTCAACTAATATAGTGGTAAACAGTAGATATATTTTTATTTGTGCCTCAATCATTTACCAACAAATTAGTTTTTTAATCCATCATGTTCACCATTTGCTAAGATGTAAGTGTTCAGGAGGAAAAAAACAAGAAAAAATAAAGACCTTTATAATAAAAAAAAAAGAAAGAAAGAAAGTTGACTCTAAAGACACAATCAACACTGCTGCATATCAGCCTAGTCTCTTCCCTCTGTTCTATGGCCTATTGTCTTGTTTGTCTCTCGAACTTGGATTGTGAAACCAAAGTTTGAACCACATTGACTCTTAAGCTCTATAAAATTCTGAGTACCTATTGTCTAAATGACATGAAGTGGGCATTGCCAAATTAGGTATTTTTCCAAGGTGCAATGTTGGTTATTATAATTTCAGCCCAGTAAAGGTGTGAATAAAATGTTTCTTTTCAGAACAGAACTTTAGTTTTCTGGGAAGCACTTTTTATCATAAATGTACAAGCACCTCTTTAGGAATAAATGCCAAATGATCTGTCCAGAAGTGGCCATTTACTTCAAATCAGTGAATAGCCTCTTTTCATCTGTCTTACTTTACAATGAGTTTCATTATCTATCAGGCCATTGCTGTCTGCTTTCTTACCTAAGTGGAAACATGCACCTGAAAACACAAAAGAGCACAGAATTTAAAAGTCACCTGTCTTCCAGCAAAGATAATAGTCACCATTTGCCCAGCCTGTGTCTTTGCCAGCTCCATAGCTCTCCTCTGTGGCGGGCATAATGTTTTGTTCCGACTGGGTAGATTGCCAGATGTCCATGTGGTGTGTTTTACCGTTAAAAGTAGATTTACTAGGAGGCTAATGAGGGTTAAGCTCACACAGACCCTATCCGTATCACGTTATAAAATTTGCAAAAGTGAGATATTTTAACAACAATCAGCTCTGAGCTCTTTCTTTTTCCACCTCGACTTCCCACCTCCATCGTATTTTCCCTCCTTGACTGTTGGTGTTGGGGCCCTGGGTATCTTTGGAATCCAGGCAAGAGAAACCTAAGTTTGGGCATCATTTAGTTTGAGATGGCACTTCCATATTATTGCTAGCTGTTCTTGTGAAGGAATGGCTTCGAGGAATGTCCCACCACCCACCTCTAGGCCAATTCCCTCAGGGTCATGACAGAGAGAAGGTTGTACTGTGATGTGAATGTGTCCTAGAGAGTCTGGCACCAGAAGTGTGCAGGTGGCACACCAAAACAAATCTCACAGCTCCTGTGGGAAAGAAACTTAGCAGTGATTTCCCCTAATTTGACAACAGTCCTGAAATATAAACAGTAATGAGTTGTGATGATGAGAGAAACTGTTCTAAGCTGACAATAATAAAAAAAAAAGGCAAATTTCAATTAAACATGTTAACAGGAAGACAATTATTTTTTATGTCTCTCTATTGAAAAAGATACTACAAAATAGTCATCATATGAAGTGGCCACCAAAGAGTTTGCAGCAAAATAAACGTAGAAGGAACATATCATAGAGGTGGGTCCATAATGAATAAAAATAGTGTATTATTTATATCATTTTTCTGTAATTTGTGATGCAAGTAGGATCGGCTTCATGTGTATATACTTTGTGCAGTCACATAGGGCCCTACACTCAGAAGGGCCCAGAGCTTGGTTTAATGCTGCTGTTGTCATCTTGAAATTCTTAATTTTTTATGAAGGAACTGTGGAGTGTCATTTTGCACTTGGCCCTGCAAGTTATGTAGCTGGTCCTCACAACAGCCTCTCTGCTGCTGGTGAGAGCAGACAAGAATTAGTGCAGCAATTGAATAGAGACATGACAAGCCCTAGATACAAAACTATTTCTCAACTTTTACAAATTTGTAATTCCCGTGATTTCTCATTCTCAATAAGCACTTTCATACTTATTATTGATTTCATAAATGGGTTTCTTTTCCTTAAAGAACACCCCCCCCCCAGGCCAAATTGTGTAAGTTTCGGACCCCCAAGATCTCTCCCGTGGTATGTGTCCTTCAGGCTTTAGTTATCCAGACTGGATAACAGCTGGTCAATTATTCAGACTCCGTTCCTGCCGTCTGTCCAACTTGTGATCATTTCTCAGCCCTTTAGCTTGTACTTTCAGCAGAGGCTGGGAAGATGTGGTGGGAGAAAGAACACAAGCTGACCGATTCTCATTTGTTAACAGCTCCAGAAATCAAATAGGAAGTGCAGCAGTTGAAAAGAAGGGGTTTCAATATTGCTTGCCACTTTCTTTTTGAGGAGGCTGGTCCTGTACCCTCACTTTCAAGCTCCACTGCTGAAGGGAGGTGTGTTTATTTGTCTAATAACGTCCTGATCTTGTCTTGCCTACGGAGCTCCTTTCAAGTTACAGGAGGACATTTCTAAGTTGTGAATTTCCCTTGCTCTTTTCCTTCACTCCGCTGTGAGCTTGTTATGGTTGGGAAGCTGGAGACAGTAGCCAGCTCATTAATTCAGCTTTAGAAAGGGGTGTATGTGGGTGAGCAGAGCCAAAGCTTAGATCTGTGTGACCTTTCTCACATACGTCGTTCTCTCCGTCGACGGGAGTGACAGCCCCTAAATTCAATCTCACTTTGGTACAGTGCTCTCCTACCGGTCTGTTTTAAGGATGAATTCACACACATTTTTCACTTTTATTAAAAGGCACAATTGTTTTTCTTAAGCTGGTAAAATTCTAAAAGTACTCATTCCTTTGGATAATGTGATGGATTGTTTCTTAACATGCACAGTGGATCTTCACCAGTATTTACCACGGTTAGTGTATTCAAAATAAAAGAATGTGTGAAACAGTGATTAAACTCTAATTTTCTTTATGAAATTGATTACCCATAAATTCTAAAGAATTTGGGAGAAAGCTAGCTAATGGTATAGGGAGTTTCTTCAAAATATTAATTATCACTTTTTTAGATGAGGTTTGAAATTAGATTCAGATTGCAAATTACAACTTTATATGGGCTCCCCACTGCTAGCTGGTGAAATCTTCTGGCTTCTGGGGATGAAGCAATTTTGCTTCCGTAATAGGACGACGAGAACCTATTTCCCTGGTAGAATAACAGGTCTGCAGCCTGAGATCCAGGAATCCAACATTTGCTCTTTGACTGGGTCACCAGTAGGATACATTAAATGCAAAGAAAACAGGCCTGGAAAAGCAGTGATCCGCCTGTGCATTTTAAATCTATTCTAAAGCAAACTCATTTTACTTGGTTCCTCAGATGTGTCTCACAAAATTGTATTTTCCTTTCTATGAAAAGAATAAACTTTCTAATGGTTTCAAGGCATGTAAGATATAGATATAGGTATAGGTATAAGTGTAACCAGACAACCAACAGGTCTGGGCTGCCTGTCACTACTTTAGTCAATTAAGCAGAGACAGGGTTGAATCATATATGAGCGTTTATTCCAATAAGGCCGGCAATATGGGAGAGCAGCAGGTCATCCACAAAAATCTGCTCTACACCCCGCTATAAGCCAGCTGCTTATATTGGGTAGAAAGACAAAGATTACATGGGAAACTAGGAATTGCAGGTGTGGGAAAGTGGCCACTGGATAATCACTACAGGTTACAAGTCATGCAGGTTGGGGGGTTACAGAGGGTAGGGGCCCCAGGTGCCCAAGGACCAGATTACAGTTAATAGGGGCTGGGGGTTGTAAAGAGCAGGTGCTTCCAGGCTAGACTGTCTCCGCCATGAGGCTGTAAATCTTTTCATAATGATAGGCAGTTCTCAGGACAGGAGGGTGGACTGCATTCCAGGGGTTAGCTCCCATGTCCCAGGGCATACAACTCCCAGCCAAGTGAAAATGTGCTTTCTAATCAGAACAGAAGCATCATGGTTAACAGAACATGATTAATATCTATAATAATAAAAGTATAATATGCTAATTAGACTGGATGACTGAACAGTGGAACGACATTCCAGACAAAGCTGGGGCTGTGGTGGCTGTGAGGGCCGAGCCCCTTGCACAAATTTTCGTGCATTGGACCTCTAGTTTCTTATCATTATACTTAGTTTTCAATATTCTGTTTCTGCCTCTGACAGATGTAGATGAAGATGTAGAGGTAGAGGTAGAGGTAGATGTAGGTTTAGATATAAGTGTAGGTATAGATGAAGATGTAGATGCAGATGCAGATGCAGATGCAGATGTAAATGTAAATGTAAATGTAAATGTACACACACAGTGACACTACTCAGACCCCAGCCACACAGAGGTCCCAGTGGATTCTTTTTCCAGGCTTAAAGTGAAGGTTTTGATGACAAAACATGGGGTGATTAATTGCTATGGATGCACCTTATTTGACCTTTAGGCATAATTTTAAAGCTTTGCCTAACAGGACACAGCTTCCACCTTTACAAGTTAAATATATACTGGTTGACTGCCTTGACTTCACACTCAATTATCAACTTCTCTCTCCACAGGGGAGATTTCCCCAATGGAGATTGTTGATTAAGTCATGGCATCTAGTTTTCAAATATACCTCCTTGCTCAGTTTCTTGGAACTTCCTACACAGTTTCAATTAATTTTACTGCTTCTTTTGGTTACTTGAAAGGGGTGGGGGTGGGGACATGAGGGATGCAAAAAAGAGAATAGAATTTTGTAACAGCTTATCAAAATTATTTTGCCTCATGGGGTATTCTGTTGCCCTTTCTGCTGTGTCTTTGAGTGTTTGGAAGCAATTTATGTCGTGCTAAGACTGTTTTTCTTTCCAAAGTTCCTACATTTGAAATTCAAATCTCAACTGTCAGCAGGCTCTTTGCTCCAACTGTGCCTTTTCATAAGGCCCTTAGCAGGATCCCTTATGGCATATTCCTCAAACCAGAAGCTTCCATACTCCAAAAGCCCAGAAGACTCTTATTCTAGCCAGTAAGTAGAGAGAGGTTTAAAACAGTGGCTAATCCTTCTTGCTTTCATTTGGCAGTTCCCACTGAGAGTTCTTTGCCTCAAATTCAGGTCATATCCTCTGTGGCTTCACACGCCTCTTATGGCTTCATACTCTGCTCTGGTTTTGTTTTGTTCATTCCTGTGCCTGGGTTGACAGTGACTAGCTAGAATTAGGACTCAAGCCTAGTAACTACTCAGGAAATATTTCCCATCTCTTTTTTTTATCTTTTGACATAAGGTTGGCAATACTTTCTAAGAATAAAAAAACATGAGATTTCTAAATCTTAAGTAATCATAACTTTAATCAAACTTACCAACCTATGTTATTATGTTTGTAATAGTCTCTTGAACTATTCAACTTTGAATAAAACTAGAATTTTCTTTTTCTTACCTTTGCTCATCCAAATGGATGCTATTTTACTACAGTCTTCAGGCAAGAAGGCCTGGGAAAGAAGCACCGGAATGGCCATATGGCAGGGAGCACAAAGTGTAGAGGTTTTTGTGCCACGTGTTGACACACCCCAGAGAGAAGAGGCAGTAAATAACTACAAATACAAAAGGACCCAGCCCATGACATCATCAACCACCTCAGAACTGGCATGTTTGGCCATAAATGGAGTGGAAGATGCATGTGGGGCCCAATAGACTTTCACTTACCAAAGTCATTCTAGTTATTGCTGCCTCTGAATGCCCAACCCTCTAGCAACAGAAACCAATTTGAGCCCCCAGTATGGTTTATCCCTCAAAGTGACCAATTGGCCACTCCGTGGTAAGTTGACTACTTTGGACCCCTTCCATCCTGGAATTGCCTGTGGTTTGCCCTCTCAGGGATAACCACCTATTAAATGCATGGCTTTGCCTTTCCTGTCCTGAGAATCACAGGCTTGTGACCCACACAACATGGTATCCAATTCTGGGCAAGCTTAAGGAAAATGTTGAGGGAAAGTGTTGCCACCCTGAGGGACAGAGTCATGCATAATTTTTGTACTAAAGCAGGAAATTCTGGCAGAAAAATGTATTCTAAATGTTTTCTTCACTTTCCCTTCAATTTCATGCTGCTTCTCCCCATCCACCCTATTCCCATTGCCTGAATCCAACTAGGTGATACCATACCAAACAGTTAACCTCCTATGACATAGATTAAGGCACAGAAAGCAGAAAATAAATCGTGAAGGATGGGTAAATGGAGACTATTGCACACTTACCTTCTTGACAATGAAATAGGGGTGTATGCCCATCACCACTGGCTATAGCACACACCAGACCATCGAGAAGCAACCAGCCTCAAAGAGAACAAGAATGACATTTTAAGGACAAGGCTAAAGTGCCAGCTCAGAGGCAGCACTCTGAAAGTTGGAGTATCATTCCTTCATGGTGCAGTAGATACCTTAAATCAGAGGCCTCCCTATGGCACTATGTCCTCACAGGAAGAATACATGGGTCAGGGAACCAACTGAAGGGTAATTCTTCCTTGCACCATTATATTATGAACTAGAAGCCCAGTGCACAAAATTCCCTGCACCATTATATTATGAACTAGAGGCCCGGTGAATTGAGAGGGAGGATCAGGCCTAAGCTGGCAGTCGGACATCCCTCTCACAGTCTGGGATCCCTCACTCTTTACCACCTGCCTGCTCACAGCTCCTTACCACTCAGCTCGCTGCATCTGCCCCTTGGTGAAGAGGGACCGTGGGAGGCTCCAGGGTGTGTCCGGCCCCTCTAGCTCAGTCCCGATTGATCGGCTGGACCCCAGCAGCAAGCTAACCTATGGGTCAGAGCATGTGCCCCCTTGTGGTCAGTACACATCATAGTGAGTGGTTGAGTGGCCTTAGCATATAATTAGCATATTATGCTTTGATTGGTTGAATGGCCAACTGGATGAACGAACACTTAGCATATTAGGCTTTTATTATATAGAATGCACTTGTGCAGTGATCCTGGTCTGAGAAGGGTATGATCACCAAGGGCTCAGATCCCTCAGGAATGAAGGTTTGAATCACACCTTCCAAAGGTAAGCCACCAATTGGGACCTGCTGAGATGACAGCTGAGGATGATGGGAATTCATAATGGATAGGAGTGGGGGATGAGTACCAGATGTGGCCCTGAGGCCAAATGCAGTGACAGGGACTTATTCTGGTCTATCTTTAAGAGATAACCTGCCATAGGAGAAACTAAGATGGCGGCAGAGATAAACACCGGGAAATTAATGCCGCACACAACAATTGATTAATACCTCAGAGAAACAATACGGACTTCATCCAGAACCACAGGAAGCCTGGCTGACTGTAAACTCTACAACTAGAAGGAAGGAAAGGCACACTGAGACCCGCAGA